TCACCGCCCGGGGGCCGTATACCGCCCGGGGGCCGTATACCGCTCGGGGGGGCCGTAAATGTTATAACATCTCGGGGGGGGCGTAAATATTTAAAATCACAAAAAACACTGAACATCACTAAACTATGCCCAAAATCACTTAAAAACTATGGAAATCATTTAAATATCCCCCAAATCCTAAACCTAAACCTAAACCTAAACCTAAACCTAAACCTAAACCTAAACCTAAACCTGAACCTGAACCTGAACCTGAACCTAAACCTAAACCTGAACCTAAACCTAAACCTAAACCTAAACCTAAACCTAAAACCTACACTCTCAACCTGAACCTAAAACCTAACTAAACCTAAACCTACGACTGAAAACCTGAACCTGAACGGAACCTGAACCTGAACCTAAACCTAAACCTAAACCTGAACCTACACCTAAACCTAAACCTCAACCTAAACCTAAACCTAAACCTGAACCTGAACCTGAACCTGAACCTGAACCTGAACCTGAACCTGAACCTGAACCTGAACCTGAACCTGAACCTGAACCTGAACCTAAACCTAAACCTAAACCTAAACCTAAACCTAAACCTAAACCTAAACCTAAACCTAAACCTAAACCTAAACCTAAACCTACACCTAAACCTGAACGTGAACCTAAACCTCAACCTCAACCTAAACCTAAACCTAAACCTAAACCTAAACCTAAAAAAAAACACTGAAAATCACTAAAATATGCCCAAAATCACCGCCCGGGGGCCGTATACCGCCCGGGGGCCGTATACCGCCCGGGACCGTATACCGCTCGACGGACCCTGTCCGCGGCGGGGGGTCTCCCGTGGAGAATCTGGCCTCGATTCCCCACGGGAGACCATCCGCCGCGGACGGGGCCCGACACCATGCCAAACGGGACCTCCCGGGGCGGGTTTTCGAAGGGGCCCGACACCATGTCAAATCCAAGGCCCGACACCATGCCAAACGGGATCTCCCGGGACCATGGCTACCCAAAACTGCAAAAAAAAACACTAGAAATCATTTAAATAAAGCCAAAATCACAAAAAAACACTGAAAATCACCAAAATATACCCAAAACTGCAAAAAAACTAGCCCTGTCCGCGGCGGGGGGTCTCCCGTGGAGAATCTGGCCCCGATTCCCCACCAGAGACCATCCGCCGCGGACGGGGCCCGACACCATGCCAAACGGGACCTCCCGGGACCATTACTACCCAAAACTGCAAAAAAACACTAGCCCTGTCCGCGGCGGGGGGTCTCCCGTGGAGAATCTGGCCCCGAATCCCCACCAGAGACCATCCGCCGCGGACAGGGGGCCCGACACCATGCCAAATCCAAGGCCCGACACCATGCCAAACGGGACCTCCCGGAACCATTACTACCCAAAACTGCAAAAAAACACTAGCCCTGTCCGCGCGCGGGGTCTCCCGTGGAGAACTGGCCCCGATCCCCCACCAGAGACAATCCGCCGCGGACAGGGGGCCCGACACCATGCCAAATCCAAGGCCCGACCACATGCCAAACGGGACCTCCTGGGACATTACTACCCAAAACTGCCAAAAAACACTAGCCCGTCGCGGCGGGGGGTCTCCCGTGGAGAATCTGGCCCCGATTCCCCACAGAGGACCATCCGCCGCGGACGGGGGCCCGACCACCATGCCAAATCCAAGGCCCGGACACCATGCAACGGGACCTACCCGGAACCATTACTACCAAAAACTGCAAAAAAAACCCCACTTCGCCCTGTCCGCGGCGGGGCGGTCTCCCGTGGAGAATTCTGGCCCCGATTCCCCACAGAGACCAATCCGACCGCGGAAAGGGGGCCCGACACCATGCCAAATCCAGGGCCCTACACCCATCCAAACGGGACCTCCCGGGACCACTTACTACCAAAACTGCAAAAAAACACTAGCCCTGTCCGCGGCGGGGGGTCTCCCGTGGAGAATCTGGCCCCGATTCCCCACCAGAGACCATCCGCCGCGGACAGGGGGCCCGACACCATGCCAAATCCAAGGCCCGACACCATGCCAAACGGGACCTCCCGGGACCATTACTACCCAAAACTGCGCAAAAACACTAGCCCTGTCCGCGGCGGGGGGTCTCCCGTGGAGAATCTGGCCCCGATTCCCCACTGGAGACCCCCCGCCGCGGACAGGGGGCCCGACACCATGCCAAACGGGACCTCCCGGGGCGGGTTTTCCAAGGCCCGACACCATGCCAAACGGGACCTCCCGGGACCATTACTACCCAAAACTGCAAAAAAACACTAGCCCTGTCCACGGCGGGGGGTCTCCCGTGGAGAATCTGGCCCCGATTCCCCACCAGAGACCATTCCGCCGCGGACAGGGGGCCCGACACCATGCCAATCCAAGCCCCGACACCATGCCAAACGGGTCCTCCCGGGACCATTACTACCCAAAACTGCAAAAAAAAACACTAGCCCTGTTCGCGGCGGGGGGTCTCCCGTGGAGAATCTGGCCCCGATTCCCCACCAGAGACCATCCCCCGCGGACAGGGGGCCCGACACCATGCCAAATCCAAAGCCCGACACCATGCCAAACGGGACCTCCCGGGACCATTACTACCCAAAACTGCAAAAAAACACAAGCCCTGTCCGCGGCGGGGGGTCTCCCGTGGAGAATCTGGCCCCGATTCCCCACCAGAGTCCATCCGCCGCGGACGGGGCCCGACACCATGTGCGGCGCCCAAGGCCCGACACCATGCCAACAGGACCCCCGGACCATTACTACCCAAACCTGCAACAAAAACACTAGCCCTGTCCGCGCGGGGGGTCTCCGTGGAGAATCTGGCCCGATTCCCCACCATAGACATCCGCACCGCGGACAGGGGGCCCGACACCATGCCAAATCCAAGGCCCGACACCATGCCAAACGGGACCTCCCGGAACCATTACTACCCAAAACTGCAAAAAAAAACACCCAAAACTGCAAAAAAACACTAGCCCTGTCCGCGGCGGGGGGTCTCCCGTGGAGAATCTGGCCCCGATTCCCCACCAGAGACCATCCGCCGCGGACAGGGGGCCCGACACCATGCCAAACGGGACCTCCCGGGGCGGGTTTTCGAAGGCCCGACACCATGCCAAACGGGACCTCCCGGGACCATTACTACCCAAAACTCCCAAAAAACACCATGCCAAACGGGGCCACCGGCCAGAAGCGCCCCTGGGCCCGACACCATCCCAAACGGGACCTCCCGAGACCAGGTTTTCGGTGCGTGACACCATGCCAAACGGGACCTCTGGGGAAGGCGCTCGTGGGCACGACACCATGCCAAACGGGACCTCCGGCGAGAAGCGCCCATGGGCCCGACACCATGCCAAACGACCCCCCCGCCGCAGACGGAGCCTTCGGGGCCTTCGGGGAGCCCCCAATGGGCCTGTCCGCGGCAGAAATAGCGTCTGCGCCCGGAATAGCGTCTGCGCCGGGAATAGCGTCTGCGCCGGGAATAGCGTCTTCGCCGGGAATAGCGTCTTCGCCTGGAATAG